CCCTGGAAAAACGTACAACAATTGAGTAAACTAATGGAAAATTTTAAAGGGAGAGCCAAGCTCAAGAAAAGTATTTTTAAAAATCAATAATAATAAAAAAATCAATAATCATAGCTTTGTTATTATTGTTGCTTTTGAGACAGCATCTCACTATATAGTTCAGGCTGGCCTTGAACTCACTATGTGGGCCAGGCTGGCCTTGAACTTGCAGAGATCCTCCTGCCTCAGCCTCTGAAATGCTGGCATTACAGGCATGCAACACCACAGTCAGAAAAAAATAAGAAAATAGCTGTTTTACATAGCATCACTAACCAGTTGGATTAGGTCGCAGGAAAACATTGATAATAGCAACATCTTTTAAAATCATCCTATCTAGACTCACAACCAAATTCATTTCACTATGACTTTTCCTTCCTACAGACTGCATTGCTATAGGGAGAAAATGAACACTCCCTGTGCCGAGGTGTGCTCTCCTGGGCAGCTCCTTGCTGATGGAGAACAGCCGCCCTCCCCCTACTCCTGCAGACCTCCACTTCAGAGCCAGCCAACCTGGGCACAAGGAAGTTCCTGCAGCCGTCTGAATGAGTGTAGATTTCTGCTCTAGTCTTGAGTGACGTGGCCTTGGTGCCAGCCTTCGTGTGATTCAGAGGACAGAGGGCTGGCACTCCCTGGCTGCAGGGGAGTGGGGAATGTTCAGGGAGCTGGGTGGAGCCCCTGGGACATGTGAAGAAAGGGTAGGGGCAGAAGATGGGGGCCTTAGGAGACAGTGAGATCTGCAAGGGACAGGCTCTGTGGCCTCTCAGCATGGGCATTGCAGTGCAATGAACACAGTCACACCTTCTGGTCCTGTGCCTGGCATTGTCTTAGACTCTTGTGCTGCATCTCTTCCTCTTCTTTCTCCATTTGCTTCCATAAATTGACCCTGCCTGAAAGCTGAGCTGTACAGCCACCTCTGAAGGCTCCCTTGTCCTCCCTGTTTCCCACTGGATTCTACAGAAGGCCCAGGGACAGGGACCGGCCTGCTTCATGATGGCAACGGGGTCTTCTTGGGTTCTAACTGCCTTACCCACCGAGCTCCGGAAACTCCCAGCCCCACTGGTACAGCCCAGTGTGCTGTCCATCCCCTGTGGGCTCCATATACCTGTCCACCTGGGTAGACAAGCCCTTTATTAAACTTCCTGAGATTAGTTCTAATTAATGCGGGTCATCTGTTTTCTTGCAGGGACCCTGACCAGCGTAAATGACTCTTTGGTACAGTGACTGCTCGCATGTGCAGCAGAGCTCGTGGAGCTTGGTGTGGGGAAGGCAGGGGCAGGGGTCCTTTGAATAAGAGCAGCATCTGATTACCTGCTGGGCCCTGCCTAAGGGGGCTTCCTTAACTGGAACTGTTAGGAGGGAAAGGAGCCACCAGCAGGTGACATCCCAACACAAAACCACATTTCCCTGAACTTCTGCTCACAGGGCAGTGAGGTAGCCCCTGGCATGGTGGACAGCGGAGAGACCCTGTCCCAGTTATACTCAGAGACACATGGAGAGACCGAAGGCTGCGTGTTTGGTAGAAGCTGAGAGAAGGGGGAGGCTTTTTCCTTTACATTACCAGGTGTTTGAGAGAGTGCATATAGAGTTTTTATAGAAAAGTCAGCGTAGTAGTCTATTTTGGACAACTAGAAGAGCAGTGGCCCGGGCAGTGTGTTAGCAAGCCCCAGAGAGAGGCCGCCTGCCTCTCCCTCCCTCTCAGCTTGGTTCCCCAGGCTGAGAATGTGGCTTGGACTCAGAGCTGACATTTGCTCTCTGTACATCAAGCACTATGTAAACTAGAAGGTTCGCTGGCCAGATGAGGCTGTTAATTTTATGGTTCTTGTCTCCTCGTACATGTCTGCACAGACCCACCCTTGTCAGTCTGGCCTCAGGTGACTTTATTTCACTCTGCCCAACCTGGCACCCACCCTTTGGGAAATAGAGCACCCCTGTGGGAATTTTGGGGGTGCTTCACTCCCACTAGCTTGGTGCTGGAGAAACACTAAAACAAGTGAAGGAAAATAATATTTCTTCTACGGGTTTTGTGTCCTGGTGGGTTAAGTTTCCCACGCTGGAGCTAGAAACCTAGAGTTCAATTTGTGCTTCCTGTCAGGACTGTGGGGAAGGTAGCACTGCTCAATGGCAGGCCCAGCCGGGGAGGTGTGACTCATGCCATCCTGTGCACACTGTGGCCATCCAGGCTGCTTGTGCGGCTGGCCAGAGGCTCTGGATGTCTCTCTAGCCCGGCACCCAAGCCCTGCACAGCAGATTGGTGGTGCAGTTCTGCTCACTGCATGCTGACCCTGTGGTTCAGGAGTAGTAGTAGGATTTCAGAGTAGGATTTGTGGATGCAAACACTCACACCACTGCAGGCCTGGAGCTGTGTATGCAGGAAGATAGCATAATCTTTCCCAAGTTGCCTGCTCCTCACTCATAGTCATTCCTGAGCTTTGTTGCCCTTTTCCCTATGGGTGTGAGAATTATTCTAGGGCCAGTCACTTTTTGTTTGTATGTTTGCTTGTTTTGAGACAAGGTCTTGCTATTGATTCAGGTTGGCCTGGAACTCACAGCAATCTTCCTGCCTCAGCCTTGGAGTGCTGGGATTATAGACGTGCACCACCGCATCCAGCATATCAGTCACTTTTGAGATTTCATTTTTCTGTCTTTCTGAATTTGCATTTCACAGGTTGTTTGTGGATGTGCTGGCCTTTGTGTACTGCACCACTGTGTGTGTGCCGGCCTGATCAGGAGACTGATGAAGGTCACCGGTGGGTCAGGGAACAATGGCCTGGTAGGGACAGTGATATGCCTAGAGGACGCATCTAGCAGGTATCTTCTAGGAACAGAATTCATTCTCATCGGAAACCCATTACATCTGCTATTTATTTATCTACTTAGCTAGGGTCTTGCTACGTAGTGCAGCCTGGCCTCCAATTCATGGTGATCCTCTTGCCTCAGCCTCCCAAGTGCTGGGATTATAGGTGTGCACCAAGTGTAACGTCACCTGGAACTTCCTGATTTCTGCCTCTGCCGCAGGAGTGGTTGTGAACCCCGGCCAACACCGTGAACCTCTGGGAGTCCATTTTCAGTTAGTCTGTGTACATTGGACAGGGAGCCATTTCATACTGAGCTATATTCGCAGGCCTTCTTTGGTTTTGAGAAGGGTCTCACTAACTCATTAAATTGCCCAGGCTGGGCTTGAATTTGTGATTCTCCTGCCTCATCCTCCCGTTGTGCCGAGATTACACGTGTAGACCACCACAGCTGGTTTCAAGTATTTTTTGAGTATCTTGGTTTAATTAATTATGTCTGTAGAAGACTGAACTCTCACTTTCATGCAATAACTTCTTCTAAACTGTCTGCTTCTTCAAAAGCTGCTCTCTCCTGGATTTCCAGGAGTTCCCTGCTAGAGAGCAACCACCCGCCTGGGTCCTGGGGTAGCCTTTAGATGGTCTGTGAGGGGGCCTGGGCGTTCCCGGAGGCAGCCGGCACTGTAGGAGCAGTATCTCCCTGAACTGGTCTGAGCTACTTTCTCCTGTTACCATCTTTGCAACTTTCCTGATTGTGTGCCCAGACCAGGACCAACCGTTAGATCTCTCTCTCCCTTGGCATACCCTGTCTCCTGCTTTGCTATAAAAGATCAAGTCAGTCCTGGCTAGAGTCTGATAAAGAAGCCCCTCTGGGGTAGACTGTGTTATTCAAACTGCCATTTTCCCTGTTCATAATGCACAGCACCACAGAAGAGTTTATATCCCCAGCCTTTGAACTTTGGAGCAGTCTTGTGACTGGGTTTGGCCAGTAAGTGAAGTGACATCATCACTTCTTTTTTTTTTTTCCTAATTTTATTGAGAAACAAATAGCAATGAGACAGTTTCAAATCAAATTGGTAGGACAGTTCCAATAATTAACACATTGCATACTGCCTTCCTAGTGGTTATTTGTTGTACAAGATTCCTCATCACTTTTTTTTTTTTTTTTTTTTGCAGAACTGGGGATTGAACTCAGGCCCTTGCACTTGCCGGGGAAGTGCTTATTCCACTGAGCCATCTCCCCGGCCCCTATCATCACTTCTTGAGAAAGATTTTTTTTTTTTTGGATGGCTCAGGCTGCCTTAAGGGCAGGTCTGGTGTGGCATGTGGAGCTGGAGATGGAACTGCGGTCCCCTGCACCTGACTGAGTTCGCCCAAGCAGGCGCTTTAAACAACTGAGTGGAGCCTTCGGAGGCAGTCTGTGCTTCTCTGTCTTTTCTGTGAGGACACTGGAATGGATCCTGGAGTGAAGGATAAGGGGAGGAACTGCAGCTGACCCATGTTGTATTGCAGGGAGGGAACAGTACAGAAGCCTAATTTCTTTTTTTTTCTTTTCTTTTTTTTGCAGAACCGGGGATTGAACTCAGGCCACTGCGCTTCCCAGGCAAGTGCTTATTCCACTGAGCCAGCTCCCCGGTCCCTAGAAGCCTAATTTCTGACTGATAAAACCTCTTCTATGATAGGCCCTTCATCCTCACACTTCTGTGTCCACTCTGCCTGCATGTGCCCTGGAGCTGGACACTAGATGAATAGGAAGTAGACCTAACTAGTCCAGTGACAGCAAAACCTTTTAGAGCTTTCAGTGATACAAACAGCCAGCTGTGGCAGGCATGCTAGAGGTTTGACACTGCTGACCTAGCCTGTTCTTGGGCCTCAGAGGCACAACTTGGCACTCTTTCTGTTCCGAATGCCTGACGGAAGCTGGGGCCTGTGCACCTGACTTTGTGCCACTGCCTGCCCTCTGGCCATGCCCGAGTCTGCTCTCACCTGGCTCTCCTGCTCCCCAGGGCCCTTGGCTCCACCACTTCAGAGATTTTTTTTTTTTTTTTTTGGTGGAACCAGGGATTGAACTCGGGCCCTTGCGCTTGCCAGGGAAGCGCTTATTCTACTGAGCCATCTCCCTGGCCCACTTCAGAGATTTATCAGAGATCAAAGGACACAGCTCAAACCAAGGGTGATCAATTATTTCATTTTAAATGTTCACATTGCTTGGAAATACACTTGATCATATACAAATTATTTCTATTAAAATAGGAAAGTTTTCTAGTATATTGCATTGAAGACATTTATACACAAGGAATTGCAACAGACATCAGAAATACTGAAATACTCTGAAAGCCTTAAGTGCCCACTTTTCAAAACATTTTGGTATAAAAGCATATTCCTATATATTTCAGAGGGTACATATAATACTGAAAAAGCACTTCATATAAAAACTAAGTTTAGGTGCATACAAACAAGAAGTATTACACTGAATAGCTTATTTCAAACTGAAACATTCAAAGTATCCAATTTCTCAGACAACATGCAGACATTAAAATACTCAGCTTGATATTTTTAAATATATAAACCACAATTCTTTATACTTCTATATCAAAATAGAAAGACAGAACATTTATCTACATTGTGCACATCACAAAAAGCAAATGTGTCTTCGTGAACGGAAAGTAATGGGTTAACACATGATTGTCATTTTACAAATATGGCTATTCACCTTCATAATAAAATAGAAAAATCATGTATTATTTACAGGAACTACTAATTATTTAACTTTTTGGCAATTATATAAAGTAGCAGCAATTGGTTTAAAGATGTTTTAAAACTCTAAATGTAACTACATGAATACCAAACAATATATATCTGCTTTTAATATAAAATTGCATGATGAAAAATGCTTTGATGCAACGTAATCTTTCCCTTTTATAGAAAACATAGGCACAAATCAGTGACTGCTGAGACTTGTCACTTACAACACATGAAACGAGTGTCAGCTTCCTCTTGCTTAACACAGTAGCTGGGGTCCTGAATTACATTTCTGTCGATTAACTTAAATCTGCCTGATGATTTACATAGTAATTTCACAGAAGCTTTACTTTTACTTCATGCTATCTAATAGCAGTGGCTGTTCACCAGTCACCTGCCTCTGGATACAGAGGTATCTGTATATAAACATAAAGATAAGCTTAATACTTAAGGGACTCTGAAGTGAAGTTTTTGTGATATGAACCCAATAGTAGAGTGCGTGTTCCTTCTACATAGTGATCATTTATTAGTGATAGTAACTTTGCTTTAGAGCGGGGGGCCTAGCCACTGAGCAAAACAAAAATCATGAGGCAGAGATCACTACAAAGAGGCACTTTCTTTCCTTAGCACTTGTGAGAACATTGGTATTTGTAAAATGAGACAAAAATGTTATTACCAATATTGGCAATCAAAAAAAAAAAAATACTGTGCGGTGAAAAGAGGTGACATGTGCTTTTGCTTGGCCACAATTCGACTACCAACCAGCAGTCTTGAATGTCGCTCACAAGGTAGAAGAGTTGGGTTGGGGAACACTTTGCACCCTGTGTGGGCATCAGGGCTACATCTGGAGCAAGAGCGAGGCGAAGTCCAGGCTGAGGAGGAGGGGGAGGAGCAGAGGCCAGCAGGGAGGCCTGAGCCCAGTGCCTGTGGATGGCAGGCTGCTGGACACTTGCACTTGGGAAATGATGAGGGCAGAGAGAGGGACATGGGATGCCAGGGTGGGGCTGTCTGAGTTGATAAGGGATTCAATCTTCTCTGCTTCCTTATTGCAGGCCTCAATCTGGGAGGAAAACATAAGATCCTTTTAATACAAAGCCATGAATCTATAAACAAGTCAAGTCAGGCAAATTCTACCTATATTCCCAAAGAAGTATAGCCCCGGAGAAAGTCTGCTTTCTCTTCTTATGCAGAGTAACATTTTATTATAGTCTTAATTTATTACATTCATATAATAACATTAATGGAAATGAAATCAGAAAAGAAATGATCCACAATGCCCCTGTGATAATCAGTCAACTGCTTTCATTTTTTTTTTTTTTTTACAATACTGTCCAGTGTTTATTTACATTTAATTTATTTGGTTTTTATGTGTGGTGCGAGAGATCAAACCCAGGGCCTTACTCATGCTAGGTGTGACATGTTCTATCACTGGACTATATCGTAAGACAAAAAAAGTCTTTTTTTGGTGAGGATTAGGGTCTATGTGGTCTCACACCTGACAGATTCTTGCCTTAGCCTCCCAGGTAGATGGGATTTCAGGCATGTGTCACCATGCGCAGCTGCTAACCCACATTTAGACATCATCTTTCCATACTTAATTATAGCCCTAGGGAATGTACTTTCAATGTCTCTGTAAACATGAGTGTGAACCACAAACTGCCTACATTCTCTCATCCCCTTCACTTGAGCTCTCACTACTTTAGTAAAACTTCGGCCTACTAGAATGAGGTTCTACATGCTGCTACACTGTGAGAAGAAGTCAGAGCCCGCAAGACCAAACCAAAGGACCTTGCTCCACAGTGGGTGCATGGCCCAAAGGAGAGCAGAGTCCACTCTGGTTTTGTAACTGGCTTTGCATGACCTGTTCCAGTCTCTTCTTCTTTAGGACTTGGCTGCCTTGTCTGCACAATGGGTGGATTGGATCTAATCACTTCTTAGGTCCCTTTCACCTCTGTATACCATCACTGGAACTTCCTCTCCCCCTCTCCTATTCTTTTGCACTGCAACATTAAATGTGCCTCAGCCTTGGCTGGCTGGAAAATGCTCAGTCTCCTTCAGAGACTGCTTTGCTTTCCTCTCACACCTTTCGAGTCTTCCCAAGTTCTCCCACTTCTCACCCAGCACCCACAACTCTTCCCCAGTCCAGGTTTGCGCCTCTCTCTCAAGTCCACCAAACTTGATGGCTTCACAGTGTATGCTGAGTCCTACCTGCAAAGCTTTTGGGTAGTGGTCAACAGGAATGATCAAGATCACAATTTCAGACTCAATGCTGAAGTATCCAAATACATCACACTGTGGGACAGACACATGCATGCGGATTTTCTCAAGTATGTCCAGAACTGTTATTGGCTTTTTGTTTGTTACCTAGAGGAAGAGAAGATTTCTGTTACCTGAAAAGGAGAATTCCCTTTAACAGCCTTTGTTACCTTGCTGTACCTGCCCTAACAAGGCTCTGCTGGGCCAAGTCCTAAGTCTGCAGGTTCTATACTAGGCAGTTCTGCCAGTCTATGGGGTTTGCAGTCAAAATAACATTCACCAGAAGAGCTTTTATAACTGGGACTGTGATACAAACTGGGCCAGTGTGAGGGCAGGGATCCTTATAAACATCTGGGCATCTGCTACTCTCTGCCACCAGGCTCAAGCTGACTGACTCACAGCCAAGGTACAACAGGAAGCAGAAGTTGGGAGTCAACCAGCTACATGTGTGTGAAACCTAGTTCTACAGATAAGGAGCTACAGGGCAAGCAGTCCTCCCTCCAAGGAACATTATACTTTAGATTTTATTTTGAGATAAAATCTTGCTAAATTGCCCAGGCTGGCCTTCCACTTGTGACCCTCCTGCCTCAGTCTCTGTTATGGTTTGTATCTAGATGTCCCCCAAAACTTGTGCAGTCATGGGGCAGGCTTCTAGAATTTTTGATTGACTCATGATTCAATGCTGGGATTATGGGTGCGAGTGCACCACCTACCCCCTGGGGCAGGTAGCCTGAATTTAATATAAGGGAGGGAGAGAGGCTTCTCTTTACTGCTCCTCCCTCACTGTTCTTGTTTTTTTTTTTTTGTTTTTTTGTTTTTTTCTTTTTTTCTGTTTTCTGCTGCCATGAACTGCTGCCCTCTGCCATGTGCCATTCTCCCTGGGAGCCAGCTGAGTACGAACTGAAACCTCCACAAATTGTAAGCTAAATAAACCTTTCCTTCCTTAATTCTGGGTGTCAGGTATTTTGTCTTAGCAATCAGAGAAAAGTAAACAAAAGAGCATCCCAAGCAGCTTGGACTACAGGTATGTGCCATCATACATGGCTAGCAAATTGCTTTTCTGAGAATTAATTTCTTCATCTATAAATGTGGACAATCTGCTTTTCAGGATTCCTAAGAGGTTTAGCAATAAGATTTCAGTGGTTAGGAACATCAGGCAATTTACCTTAGCAATAATGTCCAGTTTTTCTCTGTCAAATAAAACTCTTAACATCCCAGCACACAGTGGGCAACAAGCACCTGTAACAAAAACATTTGAGTGTGTTCAGAATTAAATAAGGAATTCAAAATGGCTAGTGATCATCACTTCCTTCTGCCCTCAGCTGTTCTCCTGATGTCTGTACCTAGGATCTTATAATCAGTGCATTTGTGAAGTCCTTCCCTCATCCCTGTCAGCGCGCTCCAGCACGGCATGGGGTGAAGCTGCTGTAGAGTAACAGTGAACAGAGGTAGTGGCCCTCAGGCGTACTGGACCTGATCTCGCTGGCCTCCCAACTCACTGTGGGGTCCTGGCACATGCTTTTACTGGGTTTTTGTTTTCCTTTTTTTTTTTTTGGTGGAACCAGGGATTGAACTCACACCTGTGTGCTTGCCAGGGAAGCACTTATTCCATTGAGCAATCTCCCAGGCCCTGTTTTTCTTTTTTAAATTTTTTTCCATAATTTTATTGAGAAACAAATAGCAATGAGACAGTTTCAAACCAAATTGGTAGGACAGTT